AGAAGTTCCGGGAGGCCCGGAAGCGGGGGAGAGAGGGGTCGGAGGGAGGAGGGTGGATTGGGAGGGGGGTGGCGGGAGGGGGGGGAGCGGGGTAGAAGGTGGGTAACGGAAGCCGATGGATTTTGGCGCAATCTGGGGTTGCCGGAGGGGCCGAAGGTGGGGGAAATGCGGGGGGGAGAGCCCAAAAAAGGGGGGGTGAAGTGCCCCTAGGGAAGGGGGGGTAAAAGTGTCCGGGAAGGGAGGAAGGGGGGAAAAAGTGCCCGGGGAGGGAAGGGGGGAAAAAAAAAGGGGTTAAACCACAAATTCCCAATTGTAGCTTACCGAAACATTGGGTGTGGTGGCTGCATTCCTTTTCTTTGGCTATTTTTCCCTGTTTTTCACCTGTGACTCTGGCCAGTAACACACCTTCAGTATTAGATGCGCCCCCACTGTGGAGACAGCAGCAATGGTCATCTGTGGGGAGGGAGAGTGTTAGCGATGTATTAGCAGATAATAAAAAGCAGTAACTAATTGAAGCCAAACTCAGCTCACCAATTCCATATTCAATTACATACAAAAAGGTTTTATTTCTTTTGGGATATACGTTTTTACATGAATAAATAAAAGCTGCTCATGTAAGCCCACCTGTCAGCTGGTAAGTGGTCGGAGCCTCATGGTAATTGGTCTGCCTCAATCCCTGGAAAACTGATACATTCTGCTGTCAGAGTTTCTATTATAAAAACAGATTTACTCACTACAGCGAGTCACCAGATGAATATAGGAAGAAAACGTAATGCAGCCATCACATCGTCAGAATCTGTAAGGCTAGCATAAATATTTTTTCTCTTGTGTTATTTTATGAATTAAGTTTTTATTTATAGTTTGTTCAGCGAATGCACATTTTTATTTTTTTTTTAATGCCCCTTTATTTAATTTTATTTTTTAGGTATATTATAAATTTTTTTTGTTTTCTATTACATGTTTTTATTTTTTATAAACCTTTAGGTGATTTCAGCATTTAATTTTTATATATTAGTTTTTTTTATTATTATTATCAATGCAATTTTGTATATTTTTTTATGTTTACATTTGTTAGTTTTTTTGTTTTATTTTCTAATTATTATTAATTGTTTTGTTGATCTGTCTATATATGTTTATTTTTTTTTTTTTGTTTTTTTTTTTATTTTTTTGTTTTTTTTTTATTTGAACCCTTCTAAATAGATATTTTTAAAAAGACAAAGTAACTGATGCCCAAATCCTTTCTTATCCTCGATTTTTAGGCGCCATAGAACTCGGCCTGGGATATTATGCTATTTTTACCCCTGACCTTTATAGCGTTCCATTTTTTTTCTTTTGGGGTGTCTAAGGGGTTATACAATTTCATTATATGTCTATGTTGTACCATTACGATACATCCCTGTACCCCTGCACTATGATACTCTATGTTTTGTTTTTTTACAATCCCTTGACCCCTGCACTATATAAACACTGCTGTAAGTTTACATACCGACTGACCTCCCTCGCCTATATACTCTATTATTTTGTACATACATTCTCCCTTAAGCCCCTGCGCTATAACTTCTATGTTGTACTATTTATATAAACACACATTTTTTGGACCCCCGTAGCATTTGTAGAATAACTACCCATTTTGTTAATTTTAATACTCCTGACCCTGTGCTATTTGTCTCTATGTATTACATTACATACTCCTGACCCCTGCACTATATACTCTATGTTTGTACATTACAATACTACTGGACCCCTGCACTATATACACTCCTGATGTTGTACATTTTCTATCCTTAACCCCTGCACTATATACTTCTATGATTTGTACATTACCATAACTCCTGACTTTTTTTTTTTCCTGCACTATATAACTCTATGTTTGTACATTACTATACTCCCTGACCCCTGCACATATATACTCTGTGTTGTACAATTCCATAGGTCCTGACTTTTGCTCTCCTCCTCCCCCCACTGCTATATATACTTTTAATATGGATTCTCTTTTGTTCCTCCCATTTCCTCACATCTATTGAGACATTTTATAACGGATGATTGGATTGGAGCACAGAACTTTTTACATGGTGATAAATAATGTGGATTACAATCCTCCAACTTTGGACCTTAAACAGAAAGTGATAATGAGGGAGGAGTCAATACCCCAATGATGGTGTCTTTCAGGATCAGTCTCCAGTCTTTCATCTTGGTTGTTCTCCCCCCATCCTCACTCTCTGACCTCTGGTAGGGGGCTCAGCCCCCGCTGTTCTTTATGACTAAATCTACATGGAGTAAAATAGGAAGTGCAGTACTTCTTGTGTTTGGGAAGATGGCGATGAGTGATAGAGGGGGGTGGGGACCCTCGTCACTATAATCCCATCTCATCACTGTCCCTCCTATAAAAGACAGTTTGGTTGTTTCCTCACTCTCTGACTAAGGTCCATGAATAAAGAAATGACCTGGTAGGAGATCAGAGGAGCCATTTCCTAGTTCCCTTGAGGGTGGAATTGTAAGCTCCACAGAGACCAAGCTGCCTGATTGGGCGGAGTCCTGGTTTGGAGGAACTCAATCCGCTCCTGTCTAGTAATCCTCTTTGTTTTGTATTTTAGTCCATGGCCGGGAGCTGAGGAAAACCTCCGAGGATTGTCTCACTTTGTCTCCAGACTGGAAAGTAGAAGATGAGGACATCACACAGTATAGTCCAGGAGAAAACCCGGCTCCCTCCAAATGACCCATCCGGCACCACCCAGTGTAGATGGACCATCGGATTCCTCGTATCCTGAGGAACCTCAGACTAGTGCGGGACCGGGCCGGGCCTTCCAACGAGGGAAGAGCTTCTCCTGTACTGAGTGCGGGAAGGGTTTCCATTATAAATCTCATCTTAATATCCATAAAAAGATCTCACACAGGGAAGAAGCTGTTTTCCTGTCCTGAGTGCGAGAAAATGTATTTTTCATGTAAGTCCAACCTTTCAACACATCAGAGATCTCACACAGGGAGAAAACCATATTCCTGTCCTGAGTGCTGAAATGTTTTTTCAGAGAAGTCCAATTTTACACACATCAGAGATTGCACATGGGGGAAAAGCCGTATTCCTGTTCTGAGTGCGGGAAATGTTTTTCAAATAAGTCTATATCTTTACACACATCAAAGATGTCACACAGGGGAGAAGCCGTTTCCTGTTCTGAGTGCGGGAAATGTTTTTCACAGAAGTCCAGTGTTTACACACATCAGAGAACTCACATGTCACACGGGGGAGAAGCCATATTCCTGTTCTGAGTGCGGGAAATGTTTTTCACAGAAGTCCGATCTTTACAGACATCAGAGATCTCACACAAGGGAGAAGCTACTTCCTGTCCTGAGTGCGGAAGTCCTCTGAAGTCTGAAGTCCTGTCTTCCTGTACATCAGGGGTCCCACACAACCCTGGAGGTGTATTAGTGCCTTGAGTGCGGGAAATGTCTTCTAGATGAATGTTGCTGGACATCCCAGCTCTCATGTGGGGAAGAAGCACACCCTGATATACACCTCAGATATACTCTATGGCTGATCTTCATCATGGAAGAAACAGTTGATAAGGAGATGAGAGGCCCCCAAAGACATGGATGAAGTGCAGTAAATGTCGGGGTGCAGAGTGGTCAGTAGATCCTGGAAATGAAGGACACAACTTCAGCCCTTCTTGGGTGTCGGAGTTGCGTTTCCTGATAATGATATAGCGGGTTACAGAGCTAGAAGCCGGGAGAGCCCAGATCTCGTTATCGGGGAACTTTACACAGACAACAAGAACTCTGAAGTTGATGTCCTTCATTTCAAGGCTCTACAGAACAGTGGGGACCCCGAAGCATCTCTCTGTCTTCAGTCCATCCTTCTCCCATCCCCCAACAGGAGGGAAGGAGAACTCCTCCCCAAACTAGGGGGGAACTTTCCTCTCATTATTTCTCTTTGCTTCTGTGTTGGTTTGGGTGGTTGGAGGAGTGCGGCACGAGAGGGAACACAGCTTGTTGTTCTATGTCTACATATGGTGTCTGGGTAGAGGGGATCCACCGGAAGATATTTCTATTTGATTTTGTGCAAATCGTTTCTGTTTTCACTTTGAAGGGCGATATTATGTGTGGTTTGTAAAAGGGATTGGCCCAATAGTTACCACCCCACTTAGAGAATAGATGAACTAATATGACCAGCATTCATTCAGCCATATAAAATAGGTAGTGAGCGCTCTAATAGATGTCAGCAGCTAGAACACAATAGGCAACCACAATGCCTTAAATATAAACAGTCAAACTAAAATAATGAAGTGCAGCGCTAAGAAGAAAAAAGTCAATAGAGTGATAATCTGGTATCACAATGGTGTACTGTAGAGGTACGGAATCCCACGGCTTCCACTTTATCAGAATGACAGAAATGCGCACTCACCGGAAACGCATGGGTTATGCGCATGTGTGATTATGCATCACGGGCAATGGGAACATCAGAATCCAGGCAGCCAGGCGTCTCCCTCACGGTGGGTCATCACAGACTCCTGTAACAGGTCCGGGGGATCCCCTTAAGGTAAGCCAGTTGTTCCCTTCTCCAGGAAAAAACCTCCTCTCAGGATGGCAAAAGTGCTTTCTCTATGGGAGTGAAAGCTCCAGATAGGAGCCCCAGAAAACAAATGCCCAGAATAGTGTAGTATGTTCAAAATCTCAGGTTTAATCATCAAAATAGCAGCAGGGCAGTAAGCATATGGTACATCATGATATGTGAAGTACATAAAGTAAACAAATGCAGTACTGACCCCCAGTGGTGTAAAACGCCGGGCCTCCTCGTGGCTCCGGCGGGTATAAGACGTCACGCTCTGTGCAGTTCCTCCTTAGGCCTTTCGTGCTAGAGGCACATCATCAGAGGGGAGACTGCACAGCAGCGTGACTGACGCCAGTGTAAGAAATAAGGGAACTGGCACATGCGCAATGAGCCGCGGCCATTTTCCCGAAGACAAACACGCACTGCGCATGCGCGAGCACGGCAGCGCCATTTTGCCGTGGATCCGCGATCTACCATGTAATGAGGAGGAGACAGAGAAGTCTCAAAGTAAAAACCCAGACACGATTGTTAACTATGTCACAGACCCCAGGGAGTGAACTGTAAACAATATGTCACAGACCCCAGGGAATAAATAGTAGATGCTATACCAGTCCCTAACCACATACCTCCTATGATGGGACCGAATAAAAATCAAAGCAGGCCAATTATGAGAGATCATGAGTATCAACATTATGATCTACCCACCTACAATAGATATGAACCTTTGCAGAACGTTCATGATGAGAATATAGGATCACGAGATTTCCGTTGGTATTCAAATACCACTAATGCTCGATCTGACAATCACCATCCCTATCCTCATAATGAATATGATAGGTCGTATGGGAATCAATACCCCTCGGGGTCGTATAATTATGACCAATACCAACCTCAACAGTTTAAAGGGCAACATAAAACGCAATACTCATCTCCCAGGAATAATAAAGGGGGTAAAAACTACAACAAAGGTACTTTCCATAAACCCAAACATGACAACTCCCGATCAGGACCAGCTAATTATAATAACAATAAGAACAATAATAAACCATTTAACAACAACTTTAGACCACCACCTAATTCGGATTACTATTACAACCAGCAACAAAATCCTGATTATTATCAGCAAACTACCAATTATCCCCGTCAGCCTTTTTTAGGGGTGAGCAATACAAGAAAAAAGAAGGGACACAGGAGGGGAAAGAGAGGAGGGAAGAGAGCAAACGGACACTCCAAAGAAAAGGAGGGTGTAAAGACACAAGGTATCTTTAACCTTAGTGGAACTAACCTTACAGAAAAAGAGCTTCACTTGCTTGATAAAGGATTGAAATATGCTCCATCAAAAAGCCTTAATAAGTTTGAAACCTATATGGACATACATAAGTTCGCACGACAATTGTCCCTGAAAAGGTATTTTGCGAATAATCCTATCAATGGGGATGTATCGATTGGAAAATATACTCATTCTAATCTACGCAATGCATCCACCTATAACCCTCCCCCACAAACTCACTCGTATGTGAATTTATTTAGAGACAAGGTCCTGAAAGAATTGAGGGAATACCATTTAAGAGACCTTTTGACAGAACAGGCGATACTAAAGCCATTAAATCATTATTAGAAAGGAAGAATTTGGTAATAAGACCAGCAGACAAAGGTGGGGGTGTAGTGGTTCTCAACAAGGAAGACTATATTAATGAGGTTAACAACATTCTGAGCGATAATACCACTTATGCTCGTTTACCTAAGGATCCTAAAATAGAGTACAAACGTTCTCTTAAAAACATCATTAACAAGGGGTATGTAGAGGGTATTCTGAATAAGAAAGAAAAGTCCTTTTTATGTCCAACAGCACCCAAGTTACCAGTCTTGTATATATTACCGAAGGTTCATAAGGACCCCCATAAAACCACCGGGGAGGCCAATAATAAGCGGTATTGGTTCTTTATCCTCTAGAATTGGTGAATATGTGGACTTTTTCCTCCAGCCACTCGTTTTACAAACTGCAGCGTATTTAAAGGACACCAAACAGGTCCTAAATGAGGTCAGCTCCCTAGTTACTTCTCCCAACACCTTTCTGGTTACAGCGGATGTCGCTTCTCTATACTCAAACATTAACCATAATGATGGCATGGAAGCGGCTGATTTCTTTTTAACACAATACAGTCCCTTACCTGTCACCCAGAAGAATTTCATTCTAGAGCTTTTAGAATTTGCTATGTTAAAGAACTATTTTTGGTTTAATAAAGACTACTATCTGCAGATAAGGGGCGTGGCAATGGGGGCAAAGTTTGCCCCCTCCCTGGCAAACCTTTTTATGGCCAGGTGGGAGGAAGACCTTATTTTTGCCAGAGATTGGCCTGAACTGTTGTTTTACAAAAGATATATCGATGATATCTTGCTTCTATGGAATGGGGAGGAGGAGTCTCTCATAAACTTCTTTAACTCATTAAATAATAATACCCTTAACATCAAACTCACATATGTTTATAGCCGGGAGGAGATTAATTTCCTGGACTTAACTCTTGTCAACTACATGGGCAGGATTACCACTAGATCTTTCTTTAAGGCAACAGATCGCAATAGCTTTATTCCTCTTGGGAGTTGTCATCATCCCAAATGGCTGTCTAATATCCCTAAAGGACAGATAATGAGGATCAGGCGCAATTGCTCGGATTATGAGACTTTTCACGTTCAGGCCAATATCTTAAAACACAGGTTTCTGGAGAAGGGATATAGTGAGACAACCCTTGATCATACTATTCGGGTAGTGGCGCAGATGAATAGAAACACCATGCTGATTGATAAAACAAGGAACAATCAAAGGAAAAAAATCTGCCCATTTGTCACATCCTTTTCAACCCAATATAAGGCAATCAATAAAATAATGAATAACAATTGGGGTATTTTAAAAATGGACCCGGTTCTAACAGCAATACTACCGGAGAAACCGGAAATTGTATTTCGGAAGGCAACTGCTGTTAGGCATATGATTGCACCAAATGTTGTGGATCCTCCTAATAACATTTCTCTGTTTAAGGATCTAAAAGGATTTCACCCCTGTAATAAATGCATCATCTGTAAGTGTGACAATACCAGAAAGAGGAAAATCAGTACATTCCAATCATCAGTTACTGGAAAAATTTATAACATTAAACATTTCATCTCTTGTCATAGCAAAATTTGTAGTGTATTTACTACAATGTCCCTGCCAAAAACAATATATTGGCAGGACAACAAGACGTCTACGTGACCGTTTACGCGAGCACGTCTCCAATATCAAGAAGGGTTTCAGGGAGCACTCATTATCAAACCACTACCGCCTCCACCATAATAAAGACCCTTCCTCACTTAAATTCATTGGGATTGATGTAATCAATAACCATTGGAGGGGTATTAATAAAACCAGGGTAGTTTCCCAAGCCGAAACCAAATGGGTGTTTGAGCTCCAAACTTTACATCCTCTGGGCCACAACATTGAGGTAGACGTCAATTGCTTCATTGCTAACAACTGACGGTCTCATTTCATATCTGTTTATATTTTTTATTTTTTATTTAATCATATATTGTGATTTGAGTTTTCTTTGCACATTATGCTTCAATTATGTTGGACTATTACCTTGGGTTTATTTCCAGCATGAGAGTTATTTTCCCAAGCATATATCATTTATGTGTATAACATTTTAGCGTTTGAAATGTATCATGGGAAATTTTTTTTCCTTATGTATGAACTTCTAGTATTTGGCGTTTTAGCATATATCTAATCTGACTGTTACACCAGTCTTTTTTATCATTAATTACCTCCTCCCGCCCTGTTTCTTGCGTTTATTTGGGCGACGGGCATAGGAAGGAGTATACGGTTTCTATTCATTTTTTTGGTTTTAAAGTGTTT